AGTAACTTTCAGACACAAACTGAAAGAAAGTCCTCCTGAAACAGCTACTTTCATATAAACATTGAATTACACGAAAGAAAAAATTCTTTCGAAACAAATACTTCTATATGAACACTGAATTATACAGAAGATACTTTTCTCTATTCAGTTTGTATATCGAACATTCGTGGAGGAATAAGAATCAGATATCATTCACATGAGTTCTACTTTGAATGAATGGTAATAAATTGTACTCACATGGAACACTGTCACCCTAACTGGTATACACGTGTTTCGCCTTAAGACACTTGCCCCAAGGCTCTTCAGTGCCAAATTGGATAACATTATAGAAAATACACACAGTTCATTCATGAATTATGATTTTTAATGACACGGAATAAGCTTGATCTGCTTATGTCATCGAACACATCGTAATGTCATTCATTCACCTATTTGATTTAATCCTAGCCAAGAGGAATCTTATTTGAATTGAAGGGGTATTTGTTCCGAAAGAATTTTTTCTTTTGTGTAATTCAATGTTTATATGAAAGTAGCTGTTTCAGGAGGACTTTCTTTCAGTTTGTGTCTGAAAGTTACTCCTTTGCATGATCTAGACATCCATGTATAGAGTTACTTATTTTAAAATTGATTACTGCCTTCCTTTCTTCAGAAGATTCCCTCATCCTTGTTTTTTGTATCAAGATGGAGTAGTAGAAAGACAAAAACTTTCTTTCCCAAAACTTATTCACTCCTAAACATATAACCCCTTCAATTCATTTCGATCTAGTACCGTATCCACTACATTTTCCCAATAAGAGATACGAGTAACTGATTCCTGAAGAAAACGATGGTGAACATTACATGTTTCATGTAGAACGCTGGGTTTCATACAGCAGCCCAGCACAACGAATAAGAGTCAACTGAAAGTCATGAAATTGTGTTACTTAGGATGGCTGTCAATCAGACTGGAGATAACCCCTAATAGGAACCCTCTCTATTGTGAATGATAAGGTTCCCATGAACTCGAATAGTATTCAAGAATGAGAAATGTCTCTTCTGGACTGGATAATGTTTCAGCGAACTCACCCATATCTCGCAAAATTGGACCAAATTTTGGTCATTCTTTTCCTCATTTCATCGTCCTGTGCTGTTAATTCCAAATAATGGGACTTCCAGATATAAGCCAAATCTTCAATATGTGCCGCTCCTAAAATGATTGATTACCATTTGAAATAATAATTTTAGCCTTTATTACCCAACAGTTAAAAACCATTCATAGAGTCAACTGAGTAGGTATGTTAAAAAAGTAATATAGGTCCTTATAGTCACAAAATTACAAATCGGAGGAATCAGTCCAGTCATCACCCAAAGACGATTGTAGATACTAACAATCGAAACGTCGTGAATTAACGTGGCTTGGAATCCCTTAATTTTTCATTTCATTTTCATTTTTATTTCTTCATTTTCTGTTCAATCGTTCTATTTTTACTTGTATTTAGGAATCGTGTTAGGAATCACACGTTAAAAGGTAAGACCTCGTTAGTCTTTAGCTCGTACAAGTTTCTCAACTTCTGAGAGTTGTCGTTTGTATGGGGGCGACAGCTGATTAACAGAAAAACTGATTTTGAACAGATTTTTTAAACATATTTTATTTCACTTTTATTTCATTTCAGGTTACTTTTGCTCAATATAATTGTTATTTTCACCTATTCATTTTCAATTCTTCTTTTTTTAGTTGTTTCAGGGATTTCAAATCATTTTATATATCAGACAATGGAAGTCCGAACTAGTGAAATTCATCATAGAACATTGTCAATCACCTTCAAACAAACGTTTCTATCTATCTGCCATATGCTAATTCCAACAACCCGATATGAAAGTCAGTACGACAATGAATATCATTGTTCAGTTGAAATATATCTACTCATTTAGTTTTCGTTTTAGTTTTAGTTTTACTAGTAGAAAGGTACCACGTCAACAATCTCTAAAATGTTCAATTCTCGCCCAATGGAAGAAAAAATTTAAGTGATTTTTATTTACGGTGCGACGCGTAACTTTCACGAGACCGAAAGAATTTTCAATGAACGTTTTCCGAATCGTCCTATCTGTAGAAAATATTTGAGGGAACTTGTATCCAAATTCACAAGTACCGGTGGTGTACATAACAAAAAGATTCCTGGTCATCCATCCATTCCGGAAGGACAGCAAGTGCAAATAA